TTTTGCAATGAGGAACAGCTTTGGTGATGCTTGGTCTAGCAGAAACCAGGAGAAACACATCCCAAACACAACTGTGCTGGCAGGGCGTGGTGTCAGGGAGGAAGCCTTGATGAAAAAAGTAGAGTTGGAAAGGCAAGTTCACTCTCTCCTTCATTATGAAGGCTACTTGGGGACTTCCAGGGGCCAGTGTACCCACCTTCCTGTATTTGGAATACACCCTAATCTGTTTTAATTCTCTAATGCTGCATGCCCAGGTACCCTAGAGGAGGGGTAAGGTAGCATGTTGAGTGACAAGACCTTTATCAAAGGCATTGTGCACAAAGAATAGTTATACAGATGGCTCTGAACAACTGAAAACAAATGCATTCCCCTCTAGTTTCTGTTCCTTTCTCTAATTGCTTGTCCTGCTCTCACCCAGTGTCTACCGATCTCATGCCACTGGCTTTCCTACAGCTTGTACCAGCCCCTCTGTTTATCAAAGGGCACTCTTAATTCCTTAGCTGTGCTGTTTACAGGTAAGGTCCAAGCAGAGATTGATAAGGTGATTGGCAGAGAGAGATCACCCACCATGGGGGACCAGCTGAGCATGCCCTACACCAATGCTGTCATCCATGAAGTGCAACGCTATGGGGATGTCATTCCTATTGGACTACCTCACATGACATACCGGGACACCGAGTTGCAAGGCTTCTTCATTCCCAAGGTGACCGTGGCCAGACAGGCTATGCAGCATCCCCCCCAACATGCAGACACCAGGCCTGTAGCGTGGGTGACTCCACACAACTCTTCAGCATTGCGCTTCCAGCCCCAAATCATAGTCACTGGCGAGCACTGAAGTAGAACATTTTGAAATGCTAAGTCCAGGCAGACAGTCACATTTGTGCTCTAGGTTTGTGCTGGTTATGTGGGAACCCAACTGCAGTGGCAGCTCGATGCGAAGGTTTGCTTTCCTCTCAAGGAGCTGTGGCATCCACTGCCCTGCCTGTGTTGGAAGGAGAAAGTAATGGAGCCTAATGGGCTCTCTGGAGGCACACGACACCAGCTCACTGGCTTTTCTAAGATGGTAGTAGTTAAAACTCCAAGCTCTGAAGCTATTCAAATAAACGCCACTGGCATTCACTCTACTGCCATTGTGACAGGCAGCTGCCCTGGCAGCATTGGTAGCAACGCAAGCCTGGGATTTTTTTTTCAGCCTTGCGATATCCGCTCTAACTTAGAACACTGACATGTGAAGCAGGAAAGCTTTGCAATTTCCCATGGCCACTGCAAAAGTTGGGCTTTGAAGTCTGTCAGTCAGCTTTTTCTCTCCAGCTATAAAGCAAGTCTAGGAGGATGTGAGAAGCAGAGGCTGTTTCCACTGTGTAACCGTGAAATTGGCGTTTGCATGCAATGGCCTTTGTAAGGATACAAATTGCAGAAGTTCAGATGCTTCGGAGCATAGGGCAGGCGCCATATGTCATTGGAAAAGTGTCCTGCTTTACCTCTGTTTTAAATGAGATACAGAAGAGGAGATCAGTGCCTTATTCTGAAGCACTGAACGATGGTTGCTATTAGATGGGAGACATGGACCAAAATGGGACCAGCACTGATCTGTCGTGCCAAGGTAACGCTGCTGGTCTCACGTAAGTTGTTTCCTCTTGTGGAGGAGCGCAGGGGACGACAGTCATCACCAACTTGTCTTCCGTGCTGAAGGATGAGACCGCCTGGGAGAAGCCAAACGAGTTTTACCCCGAACACTTCCTGGATGCAAACGGGCAGTTTGTGAAGCCAGAGGCCTTCCTGCCTTTCTCAGCAGGTAAATCTGAGGGGAGGATCCAGCTGCAAGTCAGAGGCACAGCAGGAGAGGTTTAATGTTCTCTTTCATGGAGACCTTCTACTCCCTCTCTTGCAGGTCGCCGTGCCTGCCTGGGGGAACAGCTGGCCAGGATGGAGCTCTTTATTTTCTTTACCACTCTCCTGCAGAAATTCACCTTTGTGCTCCCTGAGGACCAGCCCAGGCCACGGGAGGATGGTCACTTTGCCCTCACAAGCTCCCCACACCCATACCAGGTGCGAGCTGTCCCAAGATAAGTGCACACCACTCTCCTTTCATTCAGAGCCCACCAGCAATGCAAACTCTTGTCAGAAATGTTGCAGGTCTAGGCAGGATCATGCTGGGTTCCACTCAAGACCTCTCAAGTCTGTGCAGATGTTCCCAGCTGTGTAAAGTAAGGGTCTGGCCCAGTATATAGTTTAGCTTAATTCCAGTCCTGGATCTTGAATCAGACAGCCATAGCAAGTTACAGATGACAATCGAGTTTGCAAGTACGTATGTGCCTCATCAGCCAGCTCTGCTGTACTTTGGGCTCTGATCGGTTGCAACAGCAGTTCACTGAGCACACAGCTACTGAAAGAATTATTAGTCCTGAAGAAGTTTACTGGAATACAAGGGTATCCTGAGTAGAAGACAACCCTGGGGTCTTGCCAATTCTAGGAGAAAAAAAAACCTGGAAAAATCCGTAAGGTACTCCTGGCCCATTCCATTTCTTGTTAGCCCCGGTGCATACCCAGCCACGCTCTGCCTCATGTGCAGTGCTGTCCTACAGCAGTGTGTGCCTCTGCCTGGTGCTCAGAGGAGTCCAGCTCTGGCTCGGTTCCTGCAAAAACAATCCATGGCCTGTCAGCTGCTTTGGCATGTGCTGCTGGTGGGCAGGGAGAGACCTTCAGCTCCAAGAACAAGGTGACATTTAAATACAACTTCAGAGCAGTGCTCCTGAAAAATCTTAACGTCTGATAAGTACATAACCCCTTCGTGCCTTCCTTATTGCATACTCCTGTCTATTGCACACATACTGCATTGCCTTCATTTATAGCCCCAAAGAAAGTTTTATTCCAGAGAAATGCCTGACAACCCTTATGTCACACTATGCCTCCAGTAGGAGTAAATACTGAGGAGTACATATATAATCCATGCAGTGTTTCAGCCATAGAAGCAGGTAATTTGTGAAATACAGAAATTCCTATAAATATATTTTAAGAGGAATCCTGGTGTCTAGATTTACCGTCTCCTATCCAAATAGTTCCTGAAAACTGCTTTTTTTCAGCATTACATAAAGTCAGCTCTGGGGCAGGTTTGGAACTCATAAAGGGATGGAGTTACGCTGTTTGAAACAGTACAGCTGTAGATTTCACAGCCCCCTTTCTCTTGTTTCCTGCAAGATTCCTGACAAGTTGTTTTGCAAGGTGTTAACATACATTGATGTTTAGATTAGTAGTAACTACATTTAACCACGTGGCTGAAAAGACCATAGCGTAAAGGAGCTTCTATGCAAAATCACCACTAAAGAAATCCACATTCACATCTATCTTTCTAATACTATTTTTGGAAGCTATAAAAGCTATTGCAAATACTTAATTCCGTTGTTTTTCTTCTTCCAAATAATCCAAAAGAATAAAAGTAGTCTGAAACATCTTCTTCCCCCCCCTCTTCTCTTTGTGGTTGTCTCACAGAACTGCCTCAGACTCTCACTTGAGAATTCTCTCCTTACAGCCAGCACCCCACGTGTTTCTTTCAAGATCTTTTCAGTATTACTTTTCTGGTTGGTTCAACGACACTGGGCTGAATACGCTTGGTTTTATAGTTACCAGCACACATAAATGTTTTTAAAAAGAAGCTGTCAGTGAACTAAACTTTAAACAGAAATGATTCCTGCAACCATGTATTTGGATAAAAAGTGTGGGTATACCTGGAACAGGGACTTTGTCTCATGCAAAAATGCATCGAAAGGAAGTCAATCTGCATGTGCACGCATCAGTTGGTGCGGCACTCTGGAAGCAAAAGGGAACAAATAGCTCACGGCAAAATACAGACCTAGCACCGGCAATCGGGAAGGGGAAAGCACCTCCAAGCCAAAAAGGGCCGTAAAAGCCAACCAGCGGGTGCCAGGGCAGGCGCTCTCACAGCACGGGGAGGAGGGGGGGGCTACTGCGAGAACGGGGCCCGGCTGAGAAGTGTCCCGCTGCCTCCTGTCACCCACCGACTCGGG